AAAAAATTTGCTAAAAAAAAAAAAAAAGTCCAGAAATGCCTGTTTGCCGCATTTTACCACATTTGTCAGCATTAGAGCGTTTCTACAGCTAAAAAACTCCTCTAGCAACCCACTATTTCTGGGGTTTTTTTTCAAGCCAAAAAACGCTGGTTAAAGCCTAGGTGTGCATGGACACATAGGATAACATGCTGGGGAGTTTACTGGCTGTAGAAAAAAAATGACAAAAGCCAAAAACAGCCGCTGTAAAAATGCCCCGTGTGCAGGACTTAATGTCATTTTGGAGTAGTGGGCACACCACCAAAGGTAACACCTACAAATGATATTGGGCCTCCATGATTGAAAGAACTGAAATCCAATGAATGAAAGGGGTGAGCCAGGGACAGTCTGGTGGGGGGGAAAAAAGAGCTAGATGATGCTGGATGTCCTCCCACCAGGAAATGAGACAGGTTCTAACTAGCTGCAGCTTCTCATTTAAAAAGCCCAGAGTGTACAGAGAAATCAAGGTAAGCAATTTCAGTACAAGAGAGGAGCCTGTACAACTGTCCAGCTTTATTTGCCACTATATGTAGAAAAGCAGTAAGACCAAAATTCGGAGGAAACTGTAGATGTAGAGAGACCTACTGTTAGGCTCAGTTCACACTAGCTTTGTCCGCAGACGTCAGACAGGCGTTTGGGAAGCGTTTTTAACGCTTCTCAAACACCTATGAAAATTCTGCACATGGCAGCACACAGTGCAGTTCACACTGAAGCGTTAGCGTCACAGCAAGGGCTCGCTCACACTAGGCTGTTTTGCCAACGCTTGCCAAACGCCCCTAGAGCGTTTGGCAAGCGTTGGTCCGGTGTTTGCGGAGCGTTTTTAACGCTCGGCAAACGCCGCAAACGCGCGGTTTAGCGGCGGTTGCTAGGCGTTTGCCGAGCGTTAATAACGCCCCACAAACGCCTATAATGCATTTGAGTGGTGTTACCGCTCCGCAAACACCCCGCAACCGCGTCGCAGCCGCACCGCAAACGCCGGCCGGGCGTTTGCGGAGCGGCACCATAGACGAGAATAGGAGGCTTCAAAGCCTCCTGACTCGACCAGAGGCGTCCGTTTTGCCGCGACGCAACGCGACGCAAACGCTCCTGTTAGAACAGCACCATGTGCTGTAATGTGCAGAATTGGCAAAGGCGTTTGGGAAGCGGTAAAAACGCTTCCCAAACGCCTCTCTGCCGCCTGCACACAACGCTAGTGTGAACGCAGCCCAAAACCGACGCCTCGTGTGGAGTTGAAGCCTCCCATTCAAGTCTATGGTGCCGGTGCAGTTGCAAGGCGTTTTCAGAGCGTTGATACCATTTAACATCATTATAGGCATTTGTGGTGCGGTTTTAACGCTTGGCAAACGCCGATCAACCACCTCAAAACCACACATGGGGCGTTTGAGGAGTGTTTGAGGAGCGTTAAAACCGCTACCCAAACGCCTGTCTAATGCCTGTCAAATGCTATAGGGGCGTTTGGCAAAAGTTAGAAATAAAGTCAAGTGTGAACGAGCCCTTAAAGTGGTAGTAAACCGCAGCAAAAAAAAAAAAAAAAATTGGGGCCCCAGGCAGTTTAAGGCTGGCCATAGACGGGCCGTTTATCGGCCGAATAAATAGAAAAATCGGTTGTTGCTGCCATGGATGCTGCCACCAATTTTTACGAAAAACGGCCATTTTTCGTAGATTTTCCAGCATGACCGATAGAAAGAAATGAGAAGATCCGCGAAAAACGGCTGACGGCATTGCCCCACTAACGGTGTGAATATCGGACGATTTTTCGGTGGAAAATTCGGCCAATAAACGGCCCGTCTATGGCCTGCCTTAGTATGCAGTGCGTACTAGCAAGATGTGGCTAAACAAATTAGGACAGACTTACCTGAAAACAAAGCCCTCCAGCAGCGCACTGTCACCACTGTAGGCGCTTCCTTCCTCAGGTCTTTCTTCTGTGATCGCAGTCTTCGGCAATATGAATGGCCGAGCCGCAATTACCTCATTACCCGCGCATGCGTGTGGGAGTCACTGTTTACGCAACTGGGCTCTGAAGGATGGCACGGTGACGTCACCAGCTGCTTCTTTTGTAAATATCTCCTAAACGGTGCATGGAGATATTTACTGTACCCAGGGGCGGACTGACAACTCATGGGGCCCCCAGGCAATAGGGGATTATGGGGCCCCTGTGTCCTCGCCCACACTCAAACCACACCCAAAAAAGCCTATGAAAGGCAGTAGGGGACCATGGGGCCCCCTACTGACCCCGGGCCCTCGGGCAGTGCCCAAGTTCCCAAATGGTCAGTCCTGACTGTACCTATAGGTAAGCCTTATTATAGGCTTGCCTATAGATAAAAAATCAACCAACGCCCACTTTAATTCAAAGATGGAGTTTGGTGGGTACCTGGCTTCCTACCAAAATGGACCCTGATGTGTCTGCCTTTGGTGGTGACATTAGACAAATCTTTCTCTGTGTTATTATTGTTTTATTATTACTCAAGATTTATATAGTGCCAAAAGTTTACACCGCGCTTTACAATATAAAGAGAGACCAGGGTCGGACTGACAACTCATGGGGCCCCCGGGCAATAGGGGATCATGGGGCCCCTGTCCTTGCCCACACTCAAAGCACACCCAAAAAAGCCTATAAAAAGGTACCAGGGGCATTTTATGGGGCCCCCTACTGACCCTGGGCCATCGGGCAATGCCCGAGTGCTCGAATGGTCAGTCTGCCCCTGAGAGAGACTATACAGTTACAATTCAATACAAGAGGATCAGGAGGGCCATGTTCAGAAGAGCTTACAACTTAATAGGGAGGGGCAAGTGGAAGAAAAAGTAATAACTGTGAGGGGCAAGCTGATAGGAGATTGAAAAGTTCAGTTAGTGTTGTTAGGTGGAGGTAGGATAGGCTTCCCTGAAGAGATGAGTTTTCAGGAATCACCTAAAAGTGGACAGAGTAGGAGATAGCTGGACAGATTGGGGTAGGAAGTTCCAGAGGATGGAAGAGGCTCTAGAGAAGTCCTAGAAACGAGCATGGGAGAGAGGAGACAACAGACCTAGAGAGCATGTCTTCGGAGGAGCAGAGAGGACGGTTTGGGTGATATTTGGAGACAAGACTGGTGATATAGCTTGGGGCGAAACTGTGAATGTGTTTGTTTTTAGTATTTCGAATTTTAATAACTGGGCAATTGGAAGCCAATGGAGAGACTGGCAGAGAGGAGTTGCAGACACTGAACAGTTGGTAAGGTGGATCAGTCTGGTAGTAGAATTCTTAATAGACTGAAGGGGGGATAACCTATGTAGAGGTAGGCCAATGAGAAGGGAGTTGTAATAGTCAAAGCAAGAGGTAACCAGGGAGTAGCTTGGTGGTTTCATTGGTTAACCGCTTCCCAACCGCCCTATAGCAGAAATACTGCTACAGGGTGGCACGGGTGCGTAAACACACCTATATATACGTGATTTCGCATTTCCGGGTAGGGGGCGCATGCACGCCCTATCTGCGCCGCCATCCGTGGCTATTAATCACCGGCCGCTGATTGCCAAGCATCTCCCATGGGGAGGAGAACTGTTTGTAAACAAAACAGTTCTCCTCCCTGTCAGCTCATGCACACTGCTTTGGATGGCTGTGCGCAGTACAGCCATGCAAAGCAGTGCGCTTACAGTGAAGCACACGGACACAGACACAAGTAAAACAGCACATAGTTAACCCTTTGATCGTCCCTTATGTTAACCTTTCCTGCCCAGTGCCATTAGGACAGTGTCAGTGCTTTTTTTTTTAGCACTGATGTTTGTATTGGTGTCACCAGGGATGTCACTGACACCAAGTCAGTTCCCCCCAGTGTCAGAATGCCAGCCGCAGTCCCGCAGTCAATGATTGCCACCATTACTAGTAAAAATAAAAATGTTTTTAAAAAAATAAATATATAAAAGTATATATACCGCCATTTGTAAACACTATAACTTTCACGTAAACCAATTAATTTTCACGTATTGGGATTTTTTTTAGCAAAGGCATGAATACATTTTGGCCTAAATTTGACAAAATTTTATTTTTTTTATTTTTTTTTACTGGCCATGTTTAATAGCATAATAGCAAAAAGTAAAAAAAAAATGTTTTCCTCAAAATTGTCAGACTTTATTTTTTAAGACGCAAAAAAAAAACAAAAAAAAAAAAAAACGCACAAGCGATCACATATCACCAAAAGAAAGCTCAATTTGTAGGAAGAAAGGATGTAAATTTCATTGGGTGCAGTGTTGCATTACCACACAATTGTCAGTTAAAGTATTGCAGCGCCGTGACGCAAAAAAAGGCCTGGTCACAAAGGGGGGTAAGTCCTCAGCAGCGCAAGTGATTAAAAAAGGGTGTATTTTAGAGAGGTTACAGAGGTGACGTCTACAAGCTTTTGACAGCGATTGGATTTGGGGCTGAAAGGACAGGTCAGAGTCTAGGATTACATCTAGTACCCTGGCATGAGAGGAGGGACTGATAGTTGTATTATTGATATTGATGGAAAAGTCAGGGAGAGGGCATGAGCAGGGAAAAATACTATGAGCTTGGTTTTCTAAAGATTGAATTTGAGGAAGTGGTGTGACATCCATGCTGATGTCAGTAAGTTAGTAATGTGAGAGGAGACTGAAGGAGTGTAGTGAGGAGTAGAGAGATAGCGTTGGGTGTCATCAGCCTTTAAATGGTATTGGAAGCCATGAGGGTTATAAGGTGACCAATAAAGGAAGCGTAGATAAAGAAGGGAAGGGGTTCAAGGACAGCCTTGGGGGACCCCTACAGAAACAGGAAATGGAGAGGAAGAGACAGAGTTGTAGGCAATACTGAAAGAATGCCAAAAGGTTGCTAGCAGTTTCCTGAGTAAGGAGCAATTTCTGCTTCTCAGATCTGTAATCACCAACATTAATTATCTTTTTAGCTATCTGTAAGTGGGGCATTTTTCACATTGACACCAATGTAAGGGACATTCTGACCACCAATGTAAGGGACATTCTGACCACCAATGTAAGGGACATTCTTCCCAATGACCACCAATGCAAAGGGACATTCTTCCCAATGACCACCAATATAAGGGACATTCTTCCCAATGACCAATGACCAATATAAAGGGACATTCTTCCCAATGACCACCAATATAAAGGGACATTCTTCCCAATGACCACCAATATAAAGGGACATTCTTCCCACTAATCATCAATATAAGGGACATTCTTTCCACTGACCACCAATGTAACGGACATTCTTCCCAATGACCACCAATATAAGGGACATTCTTCCGCTGATTACAAATATAAGGGACGTTCTTCTCACTGATCACCAATATAAGGGACGTTCTTCCCACTGATCACCAATATAAGGAACATTCTTCCCACTGACCACTAATCGAAGGATCATTCTTCTCACTGAACAATGTGAGGAACATTTTCCCCCTGATCATTAATGTACAGGTCATTCGGCCTGAATGTTATTTTAAAAAGGTTGAGAAAGGTTGCATTAGACCAGCTTTTCTCAACCCTCTTACCCAGAGGAACCCATTAAATAATTTTCAGTTATCAGGGAACCCATACTAAAACCAATTCATCAGAAGTCAAGGGCAAGAACATCTTCTACATTAATGGTTAGTGGGAACAATGCAACCCTCGCAGTGGTGGTCAGAATGCCACTCTTAGCTAAAAAAGATAAGTGGCTTCATATTCTTGGCGTAGCACTTGTCCTGGTGCTATGCCGGCACCATCAGATAGGAGGTCCATCCACCACAGCTCATGAACCCCTAGCAACCTCTGGAGGAACCCTGGTTGAGAAAGGTTGCAGTAGACAGTAGGCTACTTGGTGTCATTGAAGGATAGTAATGCTATATAGAGATATACAGTGTAAATCATTTCAGAATTTGTCTCTGCTCTACAAATGAAGAAAATAAATCTACAATTGCTACCCTCTACTCTACAGAGAACTTCGAATACTCTGAAAAGGCACAAGTCAAAAGCATTGGTCTCGTCACGAAGCGTCCATTCACAATAACTCTGCAGGAGCCAATCCTCTTTGTTATCCCTAAACAGAAGTACATCAGCCTTGGTGCACACACAGGAAATTGGTGGCTATATCTAGGTAGCCTTTGCTCACTTCGCTCTTTCTTGGTTGAAACCAGCCTGCGCTACCCAGCTCTTGTGTTGCTATGGCAACAGATCCAGCTCTTAGAAGCTGAGGAATAGCCGTGCAGAGCGGACTGCGCATGAAAGACGTCAGCTCTCTCTTCCCCCACCTCATCATCCCCCCCCGCTCCTCGCTGCAACCCAGTTTCAGAAAGCATTGACTGGGATTTTCATTGACAAATTGTCACGGCTCTCCAGTGAGAAATCAGAATTAAAGTGAAATCATACTATGCCTGCAATGGACAAAATAAAGGATTCATGGCACGGCCGGGACGGATGCCTCACTGAGGGGATCAACCTGTGATTATATGCGTTTATTTAGGACACTTCTAAACACATACAATGCATAGAATGGATTTTAACTGCAACATTCACACTGTGCGTTCACCTGCATTCAGGTACTGTTTAGCGAAAACAGAATGCTGTGCGTCCAGAGTCAGATCACGTACGCTGAACACATCCAAACGCATGTAAAGGCGAATGCATCTAACTACAGGAGAAGTTGACCTGGGAAGCACAAAATTCGATCATACTTACCAGAAAACTTCTCCTAGATTTAAAGTGGTTGTAAACCTCAGACATGAATTATGACCAAAGCATATTCCTCTATAGCACAGGTGTCAAACACAAGGCCCGCGGGCCGAATCCGGCCCTCCAGGCCATTTCATGTGGCCCTTGCACCTCTGCTGCAAGTATCCCTTTGTCTCCCCCCCACCTTGTCTCATCAGTCAGCAGTAGAGAGGAGAATGGAACTCCTCTGCCAAATCCTGCACTTCTCAGTGCAGCTGCAGCACCCCCTTATCTCTGCCTCCCCTGGTCTCAGCATTCAGCAGACTCTGCTAACTAGTGAAAAATATAAATCGGTATCCTAAAATAAATCTAGAATAAACTATGATATATTGAACACTCTTTTGTAATGACACTTCAAAGTCCCACTTTCACTCTTGAAAGTCCAAAATTATAAGAATTAAACCTTTTTAGTGTCAGTGAAAAAAATCTTTCAAAACTCAAAAAATTCCTCATAAGGGGTCTTATGTTGAAGACAGGAAGTGACGAAGCGCGTCAAGGGACGTGACGCTGGACGTTGCACGAGAACCGGAAATAGCTGAGTGGCCATCTTAAGTGAGGGCACAATCAGGGGCGGACTGACAACTCATGGGGCCCCGGGCAATAGGGGATCATGGGGTCCCTAAGTCCTTGCCCAAACTCAAAAAAGCCTATGAAAAAGGTACCAGGGGCATCTCATGGGGCCCCCTACTGACCCTGGGCCCTCGGGCAGTGCCCGAGTTTCCAAATGGTCAGTCCGCCCCTGGGCACAATACATCTCGGCGTTCCAGGAAGCTGCTCAAGGTGGAGTAATGGAATATGTGCATTTTAAATGTAAGCTTAACTATTAAAGTCTGGATCTTTTTGAATATCAAATATACTACACTATATGGCTATCATTTCTTGCATCTATGAATGACATGGAGAGAAAGAAGGCATGAATAGAAAGAAGGAATAACTTGTGGATCTGAAGGAAATCCTATGTGATGTTTTTCTAATGAAGTGAGAATCTACTGAATTACTATCTTTGGAGGCTTTTATAATACTGATTTAGGGTAAGGGTATGTTATTCAGCCACTTAGATGTGTTCACAGAGTGTTCACAAAGGAATGTGCATATAGAAGTGTACACAGAGTGTGTCACTATTTCACGTGTTTTTCACATTTTTGTGTGGTCTTTTATTTGCACAAAAAAGGGGTTTTTTTTTTAATTCAATTCCATATATATGATTGTATCACTGTTTGTTGAGGATAATATACTATTTAGTTTTCTTTTTGGAGGTACACGGCATTCTGGAGGTACACGGTGATAAATAATCAGAACTTGGATGAATAATAATTTTTGAATTTTGAATTTTTGGAGTTTTGAAAGACTTTTTTTCACTGACACTAAAAAGCTTTAATTCTCATAAGACTCTGCTAACTGACTCCACTCCTCCTCTGGTCCTCCTCCAGACCCTTCACTTTCTGCTTTCCAGCTCTGCCCCCAAAGGGGGTGCACAGTGATGTTAGGGAGGGTGTGGGATTCTTGACATCTTATGTAATGGGGGGGTGGGATGCTCTGGACATCTAGTCTTACTGATACAACCGGCTCTTTGAAGGCAATCATAATGCTTATACGGCCCACGATGAAATGGAGTTTGCCATCCCTGCTCTATAGCATGTACTAATTTAACTGTCATTTCTGTCTGCTGCTCTGTTCGTCTAATATCTGCATAAATCACTTCTATGTTTTCCTGACACCAAGAAAATGTGATGTAAGGGGATGTAAGGGGGGGTGGGGTGCTATGGACAACTAGCCTTACAGATACAACCGGCCCTGTGAGAGCAACCATAATGCTGATGCAGACTGCAATTAAATTTTGAGTTTGACACCCCTGTTGTAGGGCCAGTCCTTGTCCGCGTTGGAGAACATCCCCCCAGCCCGGACACCACCCCCCCCATTGACTTCTCCATCACATCCAATAACGCCACCATCAAACCCGCCCCGCAGGCCAGAGTACTTGGTGTCATTCTGGACTCCAACCTATCCTTCCAGCCCCAAGTCCAATCTTTAACAAACTCGTGCAGACTCCACCTCCGCAACATCGCCAAAATCCGCACGTTCCTAACCCCAGAAACCACTAAACAGCTCATCCACTCCCTCATCATATCACGACTCGACTACTGCAACTCCCTCCTCACTGGCCTGCCTCGCCGCTGGCTATCCCCGCTTCAGTCGATCCTGAATACGGCTGCCAGACTCATTCACTTTTCCAACCGCTCCGTCTCCGCCACCCCCCTCTGTCAATCCCTCCACTGGCTTGCGATTGCGCAACGGATCAAATTCAAAATCCTAACACTGACGTACAAAGCCGTCTACCATACTGCCCCGAACTACATCACTGACCTAATATCCAAGTACCACCCAGCACACACACTCCCGCTCCTCACAAGACCTCCTTCTCTCTAGTTCCCTGGTCTCCTCCTCCCATGCCCGCCTCCAGGACTTCTCCAGGGTGTCACCCATCCTCTAGGAACTCCCTGCCCCAACCCATCAGATTATCACCTACTCTCCTCTCCTTTAGGCGCGCCCTGAAAACCCATCTCTTCATGGAAGCCTACCCCACCCCCTGCTAACTTGCCGACCTCCTCCACTCCTCCTAACACTCCATCCCCCACAGCTATCTCCTCCTGTGCCACCATCCCCTCCCTCCTAGATTGTAAACTCGAAAGAGCAGGGCCCTCAATCCCCTCATGTTTTGCATTGTATTGGTATTGTTCTGTCACATGTTCTGTCCCCCTTTGTAATGTACAGCGCTGAGTGAACTATTGGCACTTTATAAATACTGTATAATAATAATAAAAATCCAGAGCTATCTGCTGAATCGGCTAAAATTTGAGCTATGGATGATCCTATTGGCACCACCCAGCTCCATAAAAAGCAACTTAAAAATCAACTGAGCTGGGTATAAAACTGTCAGCTGAACAGTGACTGCATCTTATCTTTGTTGGGATATTCAGGAACCTGGGGGTGCTGTAGCTGTCTGGATACAAAAGCCAACAGTGGAGATTCCTCAATCCACGCTGTTTAGTGTTGATGGGGGGGGGGATCAACTAAATTCTCTTATTGAGTCGCCTCCGGTGAGCCCTGGGTATCAAAGACCCAATCCCTGGAGGAAACACATCATCCAGCTGCTAGAGAAGAACACTGCAGAGACAAACACCCTTCTCTATGGAGTTCAGGACCTCTCCACCAGCCAAAAAAAGAAGACCCACATTGCAATGTGATAGGATCGAAGAAAATAATATATGCATATATATATATTTTTAATTCAAAGCATTGAGGGCTGATCCAGTGGTGTGAACTGAAAATGATTTCACAGGTTCCTCTGGACTTGAGCTTCAACTATTTCCCTAAATACCTTTAGGCTAGCCGTAGACATGTGTTACTGAGAAGGATAGGTGGGAAGACACATGCCTGTAGACCATAGGGCTGGGACAGGTCAATGGTTCTTGTGCATCTTAATAACAAGTACCTGCATATACTGTAAATGGTTGACACCATCCCTTCCTCTCCTTATCACCCATTACACGGTTTTAAAAGATCCCATCCTTACTAGAACACTGTACTGAGAGGAGTTGGGCCATGTATGCTGCCCTTTCAGACAAAACGGAATCAAACTCACCTGAGCTGAGACTGCAATTTTCCTGCTTTGTTGATGAAATCTTCCCACACGGGATAACTTGCCTGCAAAAGGTAAAACAAATTCAGTATTACAATGGGTTCCTATTACCAATATGCCATGGTATATACAAGAGAGGTATACAAAAGCAATATTTGGAGGCCCTCCAATGAAGCCTCTGAATCTCCCATAGGACTGTAAGTTCTAATACTTTTATTTATTG